AACTCAAAAGGACTTATACCATAAATTTCTAGTTCAGCTGAGCTTAGTTCAGACAGTGAGTGCCATTTTCTCCTTTCTTCAATAGGAACCCATCGGCGGCTTTGAGTTCCTACAATGCACGCCTGGAGGGGTCGATAGTACGGGGTTTCAATATCATGTCCTTTATTGCAGAGAGGAGGGGATCCACTTTTCCTGAAAAAGAAAGCAAACTTTTTCCTGATTGGGACAACATTTTGAATGAAACATGAAATACTGATGCAGATAATACATTATTTCATTACCAAGAAAAATACTCCAGGTCCAAACCCAGAGAGAAATTCCTTCACTACTCAGTTCCGGCAAAATGTTTCTTAATATTACAAACACACGTATATTACTAATACAGTTCCGGCAAAAATACTCTAAAAACTGTATGTCATATATATATATATATATATATATATATATATATATATATATATTCACTAGACATGTAACCTACTCCACCTAAATATGTTAATCAATCTTCCTTGATCTATGTTCTTCTGCTAAAAAAAAAAAAAAAAAAAATCATTTACTTTATGTTATGAGCCAAAATGAAAACATGGAAATTTCCGAAATCATTTTACGCAACCCGTTTTAAGAGTTTTGCAAGTGGCTTATGAACAGAATAATAATACATGCATGCTCGTGGTAGCCTTACCTTGTTGAGTAGCATTTCTCCTTATTAGTCTTCTTCCACACAACAGTTTCGTCCTGCTGTGGCAACATCTCCCAGCAGAGACTTTCCGTAAGCAAACGGACTGTGTTCCATCTCTTTAGGTTATCTTTGTTACGAAGTGAACGCTGAGAATTTGTAACTGGGTCAGTCCACACGAAATACCCGCCAGGTCTCAACAACCGATCGACTTCAATTAAATATATGCCATCTGCACCACATGAGGTGGTTGATCAGACAATGGAAAAATGGAATCTCATTTATTGTACTTTCTATTATTTTGTATGATGTAGCTACATATGATAACACATCAAGGATGAAACTCAATGGAGCTTGATCATAATTCCATAGGTTTGCTAGTATAAGTCAGGGATTTTCGAACTAAGCTTTGTCTGTTGCTATTCTTTTGATATACAGAAGAGGATGAAGCTCACTTTAGACTGATTTTTCAAGCCCTTGCATGTTGTTCCTCGTGAGATGAGTGATTATTGGCTAGATGACGTTCTCAGCCCTATGTATAGGCATGAAATCAGTGATAATATTGCAGGCATGAAGTGGCTAGAATATCAAGAGAGTGTGATAATGAAGAATATCCTCTTTAGTAGTCAATCTGACAGGATATATCCATAAAACATGTTAGTGAGAGGCTTGTACGAGACGGTGCTGAGAACTAGTTTCATATGCTTATCACGTAAAAATTATTGTTTGCTATGCATTTGACTCTTCAAACCCCCATAACCAAAATGAAACAAAATTCTTCAAATGAAAACTATTTTTCCAACTTGCTTGTCATCAGATATTCTATCATATCAACAAATTACAAATATCACCACAAGCTAACATTTCATACTAGCTATTATACAACAATTTCTAGGGGCCTTCCTGCATATACAAGGCTTATGAACAAAGATGGAAAGAGACAAATAAATATCAGAGAAGAGAAGAGAAAGTTTTCTGGGGGCCATCCTGCATATACGAGGGAAGAGAAGAGAAAGATTTGTTATTATGCATAACAACAATGCATGATTAAGGGGAAGCACAGAGTTGCATTTAATTATTCTATACAAAAAATTAAACTAATTTAAAAAAGATAAATTACCTTTTTTGTCCCATTCAATGTGACATCTTGCACAATGTATCATGTCAAAAGAAACGGATGGATAAGGCAACTGCTTTGAAGTAAAAGAGCCAATCATAGCAGGAAGACCTCTTTCTAAAGTTAGCTGCACTTGACTGCCTGATGCCTCATAATTCGCTACACACATGGTCAATAACTGGTTCGACGATAGATAGGCACCAAAACTACCATAGCCGCATTCAATATCAAGGATGGTCCGAACCTGAAATAGAACAGTCGGTCACTGTTATACTCTCGAACACAGTGAGCGCGCCCCACATTACCACATAAAACAAACTTCTCCACAAAAGTTGATACAGATTATCTTCTTCAGATTTAATCAACATCACTAGTAATCAAATGATAGGTTGTTAGATATAATAGGTTGCTTTTCAGTAAGTGCATATGTTCACAAGACATTTTGGAGGAAAAATCTCAGCTTTACCCAACATGACATGAAGTAGTACAATCATTTACAAGAGTAAATCCAGCAGAAAATAAGTACCACACAACATATCATGACAACATTTGCATAATCAAATGCCATTGACTAACTCGATGACTCTTTACAGATATATTTAACGGAAACTGCAGCCACAAGCAAGTGACCTGAATTTGAAAGGTGATTCCGGCACCTTTCAAATTTTGGTACGCACTATTTTGCAGGATTCACTAGTCACAAGAAATGATAGACACTAACTCCAATAAATGCAATCTAACAAACAATGGGAAAAGATGAGGACCATGAGGTTTATGTAACTAAATAAGACACAAGTGTTCAATCACACAAATATATACATACACAAATATATATAGGAAAAAATCATAAATTCTTCCACTAACTCTTCATTATCCATCAACTACATCCAATTCCACCAATAAACCATTTTGAAAACATATCCAATCGAACCCTAATTCTTACGACAACATTTGCATAATCAAATGTCATTTACTAACTAGATGGCATCTTTTACAGCTTTACTTTAGAAAAACTGCACAGTCGTGACATCAAATGTAAATCATACACATTTCACATTTTGTCACACACTATTTTGCAGGATTCACTTGTCACATGAAATGAGAGACATGAGGTCCAATAAATGCAATCCAACGAATAATTGGAAAAACGGTATTTACGAAACTGAATAGGACACAAATTAAATCAAACAGATAGAATATATATATATATATATATATATATGTATATATATATATATCAGATTCACTGACCCCAGCTTCTGTAAAGTAGGATACATTTCTTAGCCCAATAATTCCTGCAATTTGGTGCGAGTAGTCTTCAACATCAAAAGTAGACGATACTGAACGGAACGAAATCTGATCTTCATCCAACATCATCATTCTATGGTGACAAGACAGAGATTAACAATATGTACAGAAAAATACCAGCCCCCAATCCCTCTTTGAATAACAAAAGAATAATCGTCCACTCACCTTTTGGTCAAACTTCCAGAGGACAGCACCTCCTGAGCCGTAATGTTAACATTTGCAAACCAGATGACATCCCTCCCAACAGGCCACCGGAGGGGACTTCTGTAATTGATCGGTGGCATCACTAAACAATTACTTCTCGAAGCCGGCCCACAATGCCGACCATACTCCTCACCATCAGAAAATCCCAAGGCCAGATTTTCCGAAACATTGAAGCACGGTACATAGTTTCCTGGATCTTGAGAACAATACTCCAATTCCGTAAACCTTGATGAACCAATTGTGAGCTCCCCAATTTCGTAAAGGTCCGAGACCAGCTGCTGTTGAAGCCGCCTGTACCCGTGAAAAATATGTCCTCTCGATGTGGATGTTATCGAGAGTGTCCACCAGAGGGAGCCCATTAGAGCAAGAACCACAATTACCACTAAACTGAATTTGAGCAAAGAGAGTGTCAATTTGTGGCGGCTTCTGAGGGGCCCGGGGCTAAAAGGGTCAGACATGAAACTGTTCTCACTCAAACCATTCTTTGAAGATACGCTGTTTGCAAATAGATGCCGAAATGGAAATCTGAAAGATAAATGCTGATGACCGACTCCGTTTGTACGATTCCAGTCAACATCTTCTTTCTCTGACTTCTCTTTCATTTGAGAATCCTCCCAGAAATCATGACTGTTGCCTGAAAATCGACCACCACCACCCAACACACCTCGATGGAGAGGTCTCGACATTTGCACAACCTAAAAAACACCCCCAAGGTAGGAAAGATTATAAGAGGCTTCAGACCCAAAATGAAACAGAGCAATAGAAACATGATATAACCAATAAAGCTATTGTAAAACGAAACGACCAGGCTGGTGATAAAGAAGGTAACACTGTCCCCTGGATTAGATCTGTTCCAAAAATCTTATAACAGATCCCAAACCAAAGTAAATGCAATATCAGATCCTACGACATTGTGAAAGCAATTGTGACACTAATATAAGAGAAAAGAACTATTAAGCCTTTATACAGTGTACATGTGACACCATGAACTAAAAAGGCAGAAAACAGAAAATTCTAACATAATTTAAGATATCGATAAATGATAAAAAAATATATTAAGTGCATATACATCTCTAGAACAAACATTTTTTTAGATGACAAGTGCCGGAGACATGTTCTTGCCTTAATCACCAAGAAATTAAGGATAAGCAAGCTGAAGTGGAACTGCAAATCAGCTTCCTTTGATCAACCGATGAGATAAGAACACAACCAGAAACGAATATCCCCAAAAAAACGAACCAACCCGACCAGCATCGATGAAAAAGGAATCTCCGAACAAATGAATAAACAAGAAATCAGAACAAAAAACAAGCGAACGCAGACACAGTAGTGAAGCTAGCAACAGCTTTGCATAATCAGTGTATACCTTGAAAAATTAATGCGAAATCCAATAAAATAACAATCTCCGAATTTCAGCCTATTCTGCAGCGGGTTTACATGAATTTCTCAACAGACCGAGATTTACTCCTCCTAGTCTTAGCTCCTCAGTTTGTATTATACCCACTCACAAGAACACACGAGTGAAAGTGAAGAGCTAGAGAGAGAAGAGAATAGAGTAGTCGTGTTATATGTATGTATATATTACACACACACACACAGACACGCGGATATATACGTACACACAGTAACTGTGTAATGTGGATCCAATCTCAGAGGAGGAGGAGGTTACTTGCTCCTGAAAGACAATCTGCAATTTTTCTTGTTTCGCCTTAATTACTGAAACTTTTTTCACTAAGACAAATAATACCGCGGTATTATTTAATTTACCTGGTATTACTCTGCATTAAATACACGTCTCAAATAGGCCAGCTTTCAAATTAGAGTCAAGCCACAATTGTAATCTTCTTTTACTATTGATATTGATTATTATATTTAGCATATAATTATGTGTTGTATCTAATTAGAAGGAGAGAAAAGTGTAAAGTGATAATCACTGTTATGAAATAATAAAAATAATGTATGTGAATGACTATTTGCCCTCGATGTATGTGTATTATTACAAGTTGTGTCATCAGAAGTTTCCTATAAATAGGAGCTTCAGTTATAATGAAAATCGTACCTAAGAAAATACATTTTCTCTACTCTCTCTCTCTTTTTCCTCTAGTTTTATAACACGTTATCAGCACGAGTCTCTACCCTCTAGAGCTCGATTTGTAATATGACGAGAATATGCTCTATAATTGCGTCTTATAGACAATCCTCTGTATCAAAAATTGAAATATTACAAATTGTCTTCTTTCTCAAACAATACTTCATACCACAAAAATCATGTTTTTTCCAATTATAGAAACGAGATGAGTCAGTTGACCATCTGTAGATGTAGCCCCAACCAGAGGAGCATCTATTGCAATTATCACATGTAAGGTTCTATTACTCTGTTCAGTTGTTTGTCATGGCAACTTTTCCATTGCAGGAGATGTTTCGGGCAGAGGGGAAGTTCCTTGAAGCTTGTAAACTGGATGAGCCATCTAGTTCCCTTGTCCTTCTTTAGCAAAATTGAAAGAAACCAGATGATTATTAGGTACGTTTTTCGTAAGACTTAAAGAGAATAATTATAAATAATCGCGGTCATTGTTTACCTTTTCCAGTCCCAAAATTGTGGTAATGATATGGAAAAGGAAAATTGTAACGCCCATTTATTTGACAATTATTTAGAATTATTTATTATATTTATCATTGCTTATTTATTTTTATTATTATTGGTTGTCTAAAAATTATTAATTGCTTAAATGCTTTATTGCAATTTTGTTATTATTATTATTATTATTATTATTATTAGTATTATACTTATTATTACTATTATTATTATTATTATTATTATTATTATTATTATTGTTGTTCTTGTTATTTGATTAATTGTCTAATTGTTATTAATTACCTAATTAATATAAATATTATTGTGTGATATACATATATAATGTCGGTTGGTTTATTTTAATCATTTATGAACGTCTTGATCATATATGAGCCATCTTCCGAGCGAGCCTTAAGTCTGATAATCGGTCCAATTTATCTGTAATATTTTTGGTCTATTCAGGTATTTATTTCCAGCCCAATAAGTTGAAGTAAATTCATTAATTCTGGCCATTTTCTTCGTAAACTTATTGGCCCATTACCTAGACACCCCTTATCCCTTTTTTTAAACAGTTTGTATTAATACTCTTACAAATAATTTAGACACCATTAGGTTTTTTATTTCCAATTATACTCCTTTTGTGGAAATTTTTAGGTTTTTAATTTTTATTTTTAATTTAAATCATAATTTTTATAACCCACACGTCTTTTGATATTATTTGACAGTTTTATTTACAAAGAAACTGTACCTTTCGTATTCTTCCTTCTTTCTTCTTTGTCTGTTTTTCTTTTTTCTTTTCTTTCTTCTTTCTTCCTTGTTAGTTTCCATTATTCTTTCCTTTTTTTTCTTGTTTTGTTTTGTTCTTCACTTTCAATGTTTTTTTTTCATAAATTTTTTTATCGCTTTTTTTTTTCTGTAGTTTATTTGATTTTTTTAATAGAGTCTATTTTTTTTTTCGTGCACATACAATTGCAAGTAAAATCATGATTTGTGTTCGGAAATCTATCAAATTGGAAGCAAAGTCGAAATTTGCAGGGCTTTGTGCATGAGTTGATCGGGACCATCACCATGAATGGATCGAAATTTGTGTTTGCGTGACCAAGAAGACCACCACCTTCACCGGCACCGGCACCTCCGCTCCCACCCTCGGTGTGCCTGTCTATGTGTATGTGTGTTGGACAAAGTCGATGGTGTGGTCATTCGAGACGACAAAGCAGTTGCATAAAGTCAATTGTCCTTTTGTTTAATATCATCAAAACTCGTCAATTTGTCAAAGCGGTGATTTTGAAACTGGCTCAGGGTTGAATTTGGTTTCTCGATAATGATAGAATGGCAGTTTCTGGGTTGATTGTTCAATGAATTTCATTTTGGTTTGATATGTGATTTTTGACTGTATCGTTTTTATGTCTTTTTATGTTCATGATGTTTACATAGTCCGGTTTTTTAATTTTCTTCTAAACCAGTTCAAATTTTATTGTTGTTTTTAAAGTAATTAATTATTTTTTTTGTGGTTGTCTACAGACAAGCTCTTTATTGCTGCTATGCATTTTTTAAAAACATTAGTAATCAACAAATTCCTTATCTTTTGCATTTTTTATTAAAAGAAGACCATGATTCGATCGATTGCTGTAAAAATTTATGCATGGAGATGTTTTAGACGTTCGTGAAAAGCACTATTACTTTGATTGTTTAAGTGTCATTTAACTATATAAAAACCAACAAAGAAGTGAACAATGATAACTTCATAGAAACTCAAAATAACACAACAAATAATTATATTTATGTGTAATTGTTTGTGTGTTTTTGTGTGTTCATACGGGAAAGATAATCATGTTTTGTTTTGTTCATTATTAAAACAGAGATTATTACTATTTTTTTTTTTTTTTTCACTTTGCAGCAACCAAGAACAATGATATCCCTCCTTCTTCTTCATTACAATGAGCATTGGATTAATAAAGTAACTATAAAACAACAGTGTAACATTTCTCAACCAATCTGAAAACAACTTTCATTTATAATAAAATATTTCGAAATTAAGTTTTACAATGATTATATGAGATAGTCAATGAAACAACAACAAAGAAACAACACTACAATAATCAAACAACATGAAAACAACTTAACAACTAAAAAAAAAAAAAAAAAGTGTCGCAGGTCGTCCATGTATTCTTTTTTATCCCTTTGCTCCCATCAATTTCCCAACTGAAAAAAAAGTAATTTTTGCAGTTCTAGAAAATTGTTGAACATACATTCGAAATACCTCGTTAGGCTATCAGGAACACGTGAGTTTACTTCACCACCATATTAACAACCCTAATAATCCACATCTTTATATTATTATTATTATTATTTTTGTTATCAGGATGCATTTTTTTTTTCAAATTTGATTTTACATTACTGTGAATATGCGAACTTGAAACTTGGAACTATCAAACTTTCTTCTTTTTTTTTTTCGTTTTGATTTCAATTTTTTTTTTTTGTGTTTTTCCTTTATGGATGAATCGAGAAATTTTTCTGAATGGGTTTGTATTTTTTAGTTTGTTATTGTTTATGATTGTTAACTATCATCAGTTATTTTTCAAATGAAAAACTGTAGCAATACGATTTTTTTGCTGAATCGATTCAATTTTATTTTTTTGCTTTTCAAGTTTTTTTTTTCTTTAATTTCCTGTTTACCTAAATTTGACCAATTTTGGGGTATATTTGATATTGTGTATGACTGGGAACCATTGTGGAATATTATTATTAAATGGAGGGAGTTATAAAATTTTCCCAATGTTATTTCACTTGGGCCCAAGAAATCAACCCATCTCTCTCATTTTGAGCCGAATTTCTCACGCAGACGGGCGATTTTTCCTTTTCTCTCGGTCATCCATCTGCCACCATCGAAGACCACGTCGCCATGACCAACGACCTCCATGGAATCCGGCCCCTAATTACCCTAATTCTCTGAGTATTTAAACCAGTAAGAGAGATTATAGTTGCAATCCCATTGATTTCCCAATTTCGCTAAGCCGCGAGGCGAGCCCCTCTCTTCTCGCCGGCATTAATTGCAGCCGCCGCCGCCGCGAGGTACCCCAGCCCTAGAACCGCCGTAATTTGCGGCCACAC